TAAATTTTATTTTTTTGGAGGAGAAAGATAAATTGAAAGAAAAAAATCTAATCTAGTTTTATTTCTTTTTACAGGACATAGAAGATGACGAGTGCCTACCATCAAACATAGACTACTCTTCGGATCAACAATTAAGGTTAGTAAAATTAATTTTTTTGGAGGGGATAGGAAAATTGAAAAAAAAAATCTAATCTAGTTTTATTTCTTTTTACAGGACATAGAAGATGATGAGTGACTACCATCAAACTTAGACTACTCTTCGGATCATCAATTTAAGGTTAGTAAATTTTATTTTTTTGGAGGGGAAAGGTAAATTGAAAGAAAAAATCTTATCCAGTTTTATTTCTTTTTACAGGACATAGAAGATGACGAGTGCCTATCATGGAACATAGACTACTCTTCGGATCAACAATTTAAGGTCAGTAAATTTTATTTTTTTGGAGGGGATAGGAAAATTGAAAAAAAAATCTAATCTAGTTTTATTTCTTTTTACAGGACATACAAGATGATGAGTGACTACCATCAAACATAGACTACTCTTCGGATCAACAATTTTAAGGTTAGTTAACCTTTTTTTGGGGGGAGGTGGGGGGAGGTAGAAAAGGTGGGGGTTGGAGAAGTGCAAGTAATCTGATCTCATTTTTATTTCTTTTTACAGGATGATGAATACCTCCCCTCGGACTTTGACTGCGCTACTTGGAGGAACAACATCAGGTTCTTTACCACATGCATGAGACAGCTAGCACACTTCTACGACATAGTGTTTACCATTAGGTCTTGACTACACTTCTGGGATAGACGGACAGCCTCTCTTTGGACCTTGAGCTGCTTGTTTACACTCCTGGGATAAAACAAGGTTAGTAAACTATAAGTGGGGAAGAGGGGAGCAAGAAAAACAAATATTTTCCATTTCTACTTGGAGTAAGTATATATTATTAAATAAACAATTAAGGGTGTCATACCCCCAGTGTACGATGACAAATGCAATTTTAAAAAATCCCTACCCCTATTCATGATGCAACCGACTTTCACAAAATAGGATAACTGTCGTGCCAGGTGGGAGTCGTAAAATCCCAACATGTACTGCACATACTAGCACTTTAAATATTTCATTTTGCAAGGTTCAATTCCATTTCCTTTCATAGTTTTTTGGTAAACATACAATTTGATTTTTAAGCTGTAGTATAGGTACACCAGATGTCCAAAGGATAATGGCAACTCTCCAAGATGAAAAGGTCCAAGGGCACATGCCTGTTTAGGATTCTTTGTAACAGAAGTGATCAGAAGTAGATGGCCTTCCATGCAGCAGCGTGTTACTTGAGCATTGAAAACGAATGTTTCAAGGCAAGTGCGTGAGAAAAAAATGGTTATACATACATTATTGCTAGTTATTGAAAATAATATTTTGAACTGGGCCTGCTACCAGTAGGCCTGATAAACCTCAAGCATTTACAGGTTGACTTAAGTCCATATTTGTTCATACATGTTATAACTTTTCTTATGCTCTCAATGCTCTGACAAAGATTTAATTTGAACTTGTAGGCTACCAAAAGTCTTTGCAACAACGTTATGAATAAGGCAGCAACTGAATAAAAGTCTCTCCTTCCAATGATAATTCAGGTATTTCCATACACCTAATGGTATGTTTTCATGTTTACCCACTAAATCTTTCCATAATGTCAAATATAATTAAACTGAATGTTGACTGTAATAATTGCAGTATATATAATTAGATATAGAACTTCACAAAAATCTTGACTTAGTTATGATATCTATTTCAGAACTGAATATGTGGGATTGGCGTCATCTTTACTGTCTACGTTTTAGAGGCATTTCTCATAGCATGCAAAACACCAAACATAAGAAATGCATCGAATAATGTACCCAGTTCATACTATGATAGAGAATGAAACATTTTGGACCATGGCTACAGAGTACGGAGAATTGCAATGCAGGTTATAACAAACCCAATGCGTCTCATCCTATGTTTGAAATAGATCTAACTCTTTGTTGGAAAAATATTGTTAATACACGTGTACGTACATGTATGTAAATAGTTTTCACAAATACTTGCAAATGCAGGGTATTTTATTTTGTTTATGGTTTACTTTAAAAGTTTGTTAGATGTGGTTTTATCAAGATGAATTAGATTTTTTTTCACTTGTGCATTTGAATGTACTTTGATATCTTATCTAACTTATGTGGGGTAGTCCTCATTTCATATGTATATAATTAATTTAGTATATATTTAATTGGTTAATCTGCACTACAAGTAGCTATAGGTCTTGGGTCTATATGAGAAATGTGCAGGGTTAATTTCTCATGACAAACATTGGTATTGCCTACAGTAATTATTGTCCACATTTCAGCCAATTGTTTTGGATTAGTATTTATAAAAATATTTGCCTCTGACATGGGAATTGTTTAGCATTACATTTGAGAAAATCATAATCTGTCCTTTTCGCTAACCTTACTAATTCTAATCCTTTTCCTCCTGAAGAATGCTGGGTGCACACAGTCATTTTTCGCAGGAGGATCGCATGTCACTGCTTTTCCGATTTTCTCAAGTGTGGTACGTTGAGCAATAACTACTTTACACGAGTACCTTTTACTCTCTAAATCAAAAATAAACTTATAATCGGAAGTGGACAGTTACTTGAGATTATACCAATGACCCAAATGATTTCAAAGCAAGCTTGCTTTATTCCTTACTTGTTCTACATTTCATGTTAAGTAAAGAGCAATATATTGAAAGTATTGATGTTAAACTGTATATTTTTGTAATAACATTTGATATAGAGGTGGGCAGTTTTCCTTAAAGAAGTTTTCCTTATTCATTATAGAATTATTTGTTCCTGGGATGTTAAAAAAAATTAATCAAGAATACAGTTGAATAGAATGAAGCATATTAATTTATTTAATAGACAATCTGCACCAATCTGCAATTTAAGCATTTGAAAATAAACAATAAATCGAGTTTCTGTTAATTCTGCATTTGATTTTTGTAATGTTTAATTAGAAATAAAAGCTTTCTGATGTCATATTGTATAGTTTGTATTCATTGCTAGTAATAGGCAAACATAGTTGAACCCCCCTCTCCACACACACACACACACACACACACACACGCACAGAATGTATTGGATTGAAACAGAGTGATGCTATTTTTTTATCCCTGGGCCTTGCACATTGTAGCAAAATTATCTTTGTATGCTTTACAAAATGTTTCGTTTTTGTGTCGGGGGAAGGGTCGACTTCGCATCCCTCCCCTTTTAAATAATCCTGGGTCTGCCCCTGCCAAAATTTTGATGCAATATTACATAATGCTTAACAGCATTATGACCATCAATTTTTAATAATGAAATAAAAGTATCATGGATATTCAGAAAATGTGACTAGCAAAAAGTCTTCAAGGCCATTAAGAGTCGCACCTTCAAAATGCTAAAAAGTAAACAATAGATAACTATACTGAAATGAGTTTATTTCCATTTTCAAAAACCTTTTTTACATAAAACAAAATAATAAATTTACTTTCATTTTCACATAATCAACTAAGAAAATTGTTGACATAGGAAAAATATCATCAGAACAATTTTATTTGTCCAATTTGTTCTTCTGAACAAAGTGAATGATTGAATCTGACCAACTGCAATGATGAGCAATAAAGCAGTCACTGAGAATAAACCACTTTATATCTCAGAACTTATGAAGCAACATCAGCATGGAAGAGTTACCAGGTCTTCACCTTTTAGTCATTTACTTTTAGAACACAGTGTCTTAGAGAAAAAAGCTGGTAAATTTTACGGTGAAAGGGCATTTATGATATATGCACCCAAAGTTTGGAACACCTTACCCTCTGATATACGAGCAGCAGGTGACATAGATACTTTTAAAAAGCTTTTGAAGACTCATATTTTTAGAATAGCCTATCAGTAACTATCATATAATTAATTTTTAGTTTTTAATAAGGTGTACTGTAATTTTATGATTAATTTTAAATGTTGTCACTTTAGTTTCTTATCATTTTAGAATATGAAATAATTGGTTCTTTAAATTAGTTCTTAGTCCTTTAAAATTGTAATGTGTTCTTATACTAGTATTGTGATATTTAGCTCTTTTAAGTGAATGTTGTAAGGCGCATTGAGATTTTTAATGGAATGCGCCATAGAAAAATAGATTATTATCATTATTATTATTATTATCATTATGAGTTTATTTTCATTTTTAACACTTTATTACATAATACACGATAACAGGTTTACCGTCATTTTTATATTATCAACTAACAATGTTGTTAAGATGCAGAAAATGTCAAAAGAACATTTTGAAGTATCTGATTAGCTTAATAATGGGACTGTTAACATGCCTTAGAATTGTTAGAAGTGTTATCAATATTGCATATATGCTGATAAAAGCGAAAACACAGCATAACTTTTAAGAAAATGGCCTGATCATGCTGATTTTTTAACTTGACCTGCGTATTATGATTATTCATCAGCTCGGTTAGTTTCAAGCCAAAAGATAAAATGATTTTCCACTTACTGTGCTATCGGTGAAAGTGCACGACAACGTTGACAGCGACGACGATGACAGATGCAGGTGACAGCTATATGTACAGACACATAATGTACATAAAAAGTGGTCAAAATTTGCAATCTCCACACAGTGCATGTAAATTGCACTATAATGCTTAAGAATGGATTCTAATTATAATGGGCAATAATGTTGGAATATGATTTGTGGTACTGTCAGACATACAGTTCAAGTGTAAACTGAGTATACAAAAACAAGGTCTAAAACTATGACAGTATTTGAAATTGGTTCCTTTGTGTCATTTTTGTTATGGAATGGCTGCAACAGGGGTTTTAAGTGCTAAAACTTGGATCTAAAACAAGAAGTAAAAACTTTAAAGAAGGAAACAAAAATATTCATTTCATAAAAATAATTTATTTAAAATGGTGAAATATAAGACTAAATGGAAGTCAATCAATCTACTTGATTATAATATGCATGCACATCTGTCATTGATAAATAGTACAGCACTTTTTCCTATAAAATAATTTTAAGAAAGTTGGTCTGTGACAACTGCGGTTTATAAGAAAAGTATCACATTCATTAATTGGGAATCGGGCCTTAACATACTCAATTTTTTCTTTTAATTTGTTTAAAAACTTTCCACTTGGCCATTTTAAAATGCTGCCCAAAACTACTACCTGCATTTAAAATAATGAAATAATTATAGCAGATAACGAAATCAAAACCATGCATCAAGAAAATTAAAGAAAAGGGACTTTAACATGAAGTAAGTTGGGGTTTGTAAGTCAAGGGAATTGTAGCTTAATGTAATGAAAATCACAGACTACAGGAAAATTAGGTGAAATGATCATAAACTTTGAATTTAAAAGCAGGTAATCTTATTACAAAACATATAAAATAAATCTAAAGTAGATAGTTACAATGGCACAGTTAAAGACATTAAACAAATAAACTCAAAGCAAAAATTCAAAAACATCTATGTAGGCAAGATATATATAATAAACATTTTTTAAAATTATAAATTAAAAAGAAATCAAAATTTTTAAACCTCAACAGCAAATATAGTTTGCCTAAAAGAAGTGAATGTTTTTTCACTTTTTCCAATCTCTTTTGGTTTTCTGACCAACCATGAATGCACATTATTGTGTCAGCACATTTTTAATATTTTGAACACAGCAGTTCCTTTAACAATATTTTATATGAGTAGAATATGAGCAAACTTGAATGAAAACATTTGCTTATATGATAATATATATATATATATATATATATATACTGACAGAAAGAGACAACTGGCCTACTAAGAACACTAAAAATGGTGAGAGGGAATGCACACTAAACTCAAAGGTCCTTAAGTAAATATTAACCAATCTGTCCAATCATATTGATTTTTGAAAGGAACCTGCTTTTTTATCAGACAAAGCCACTCAGTAAGTTTGAAGTAAAACAAAGGTATGGCTATGGGAGAAATATTGCAAAAATAAACAAACAGAAAAGAATCAATAACTTTGGCAAAAATAACCTGATAGAAGTGACTTTCAAAGTAAATCTGCCTCATAATCATACAGAGCCACTCAGCAAATTTGAGATTAAACAGAAATATAGTCTGGCACTTATTGGGGCAAATGTCACCAAAATGTATATAAAAAATCAATGACTTCCACAAAAACAATATGATAATGCTGATTTTAAAAAGGACTGGCAATTTTACCAAACAAAGCCAATCATGTAATTTAAAAAAGAACAAAAAATATGGTAAAGCAGGTATAGGGTGAACAACAGATATGTAGGATGGCATTGGCAGATAGTGATCAAAATATATAGTGTCAGTACATTAATTACCTTATTTACCTTATTAAAATTCAGAAAATATTTGAATCATATATCATCAAAATTAAAGATGCTTTGCTTTACACTGAATTAAGTAGTTTTCTATAAGCTTCCATTTCCTTCTTACAAGAATATTTCCTTTCTGCCTCAGTTTTAGCACTGGTTGCAATGGCTGTGCACAGTGTCCTGTCCTGCAGTAACTCCTGTGCAATCTCTATAAATTCCTGAAAACAAGAGCACATTACTAATAGTTAAACAACAGCCAGAAATCTCACTCACATTGTAAAGCAATTTATCTGCATGTATTATGCAGTACCAAACTTTTTCATGATATTATCTACTGAATAGTATAGTATTTTTTTGGAATCTATGAACTTAACAAAAAAAATGGATTTCATATTTACCTGAGGTGTGTTGAACAGAAACCCTGTTTTCCTGTGCTGAATGACAGCAGCATTACCAGGTATATTTCTGGCAACAACTGGGACACCCATGACCATTGCCTACAGTATGTGCACAATGAATATTGTTATCATTCTTCTTTAGACAAAGTGCTCTTTAATATGTCAGTCAGACTGCTCTCAAATTTATTCTAAACAGAAATTATTTTAAAAAGTCATAATGTAACACCCCAGTTCAGTCATTCAGATAACTAATGATGATGTGGCCAATTATAATCAGAAATGCTACTTGTGAAATCATCTCTACAATAAAAATCTAAAGATTTTCAATTCATTAAAAATGTGCTGATAATACTGAACATCTAGTACAACCTTACCTCCAATAAAGCTGCTGACATACCCTCACTGACTGATGAATTCACCAGGGCAAAACTATCCCTGATTATTGCGTGACATTCTGATTTTTCGAGTGCAGCGATTTGAAGCACACCTGGACAGCTGAAAGCAAACTTCTCTCAGTTCACAGATAGACAAGGATCACCCTGATTTTAAGAGAGAACTGAAAATCACCACTGTACTATCAGTAAAGAGGCGAGTTACCAGTGTCCTCTGAAACTCAGGATGACATGGGTGCACATCACTAATTGTGTGCCTGATTTAATTATTTGTTTTGAAGATTTATATCAAATCACCGTATAGATTTTAAAGAAATAAATAGATAAATAGATTAAATATTACATCTTTATAGTAGCTCTTCAAAGATGCATCATTAATTATTTATTTTGACACTTAAAGCAAATGGTTATTGCTCTCTACCAAGATAACTACCATTAAACGCAAACTCACCTATCAATCATGGACTCCACTTGCATATGATAAGATTTGTCCGTCTACAAAAAAAAAGGACTACAATGTCAATATATGCTGGAAGTTTGAAATGGTTAAGGTTGGTTTTTTAGCCTAATATCTCCAACAAACCAGACAGCTCTTATGATTTCATACCAGGTCTTTATAAATCTGTTCAATTCCAAAACAATAGCATTATTCTAGGTAGAAAACAATCCTAGCAATGGCATATGTGGCAGAATCCTCATCAAAAATTACCAGCGCTTCTGTGGCTAGTTTAAGCATTTTGCTCTCTTTCCTAGTCACTGACATACACTGAGCCAAAATGTCAATGCCCCATGTGAATTATTTATGTAACATGTACTGGGCACACTAAATGAGCTGTTGTTAATCCGTAGCACAATGGACACGAAAATTAAAAAAAAAAAAAAAAAAAAATATATATATATATATATATATATATATATATAACCCATATTGATACTAATTTTTTAAAATATATTTTTCATAAGTATTGTGTGGGATGTTTACATATTTGCTCAGTGTATTTTTGCTACATTGTCTTCTGGCCTGATGAACTTACATTTGGTCCTATGATCAGGAAAAAGCAGTCACTGTGATCATCTAAATGCCAAGCTGGAATCCAAGAAGGTATTGCCATTTTGCATTGATTCAAATCTAAAGAGTATGTGGGGTTTTATCTGCAAGATTTCAAGATTTATACCTAGCTTCTGATATTTACAAGTAATTGTCCTTTTTTAAGTCCTTTTTTTCAATTAAACATTCTGCTTAACCTAACTGACTAACATGAACAAACTGACTACCATGAGCAAACTGACTACCATGAGAAAAAAATTATATTAAACTATTATTAAACAACAAACAACTTAAAAACTATAACAATACCAGAAAAAGCCTTGAGAAGAAATGTGACATCCTTCACTGGTCTTATCCCAGCAATCAAAGTGAATAGCCTTAGAGGGCTGTCTCCACAGCTTATGTTATAGTTCTCCTGTAGAAATTGGGTAACATTGAAACTACTGGAAGGGGTTGTGGAAACACCCTGAGGTATCACAATAAGCTTTTTGGGGCAAACATCAGGCTATGGGATAACAGAAAAAAAGAAAAAAAATGTTAATATGTATCAATACATATTTTTATTCATTTCAAAATCACAGTAATGACATGATCTTTTCAATTTCAGAAACATAATTTTTTAATCACAAAATTATATTTCTGTATAGCACTTATGGTGCTTTTACTGCATAGAAAGGAACTAAAGAGTAGCCTGCTTATTAATTTTGTTGCTGCCACTCAATAGAAATGCTCTTATTTAAAGAAATTATGACTTTAAAAAATACAGTATATGTCAAATTTACAATTGAAAAGATCGAGTAATTGTCATATGCACAAACTGAAATTGTTATAATTTATGTAATATATATATGGAATTTTATATATAGAAATAGAAAAACATATTCATTTATTAAGTAATATATTTAAAAAGTCTTTTGAAAGAATGTCAATCTTAGTTAATGTAATCAAAATATGTATTAAATTTTGAACAAAGTCACATCATTTAAAATTCTTGGACACAATTTTGCTGTAGGTTGTATCAGAGATTGGCAAATATCTATACATTTATTCTTTTACCTTCATTTCAAGACTTACCCATAATGATTTGGCTTTATTTACCACGGAGTCATTAAAAGCAACAGCAAACCTGAAAGATGCAAAATCCTTTTAAAAGATGAGTAAAGTTTACTTAGTGAATGGTCTCAGGTTGAGACTACATGTGACATTGGTCAGTTGCTAATTTTAATTCCCAGTATCAGAGTTATGCATAGTTGTCACACTGATGGGTTTAGTTCCCATATATTAGGATATAAATGGTTCTGGAATACTTACTTTGCATGTTGCACAGCCCGGGTCATAATTTGAAATTTTGATTCATCTTTGGAAAATTCATTGATATCTGTACCTCCAAACACTAAAATGTATGGCACTGTGCAGTCTGAATAAAAAGAAACAATATTGTCTTCTTCAATCAATCTTTATAATATCATATTAGAAAACACATACCGGGTATGATAATATACAGTTTTGGACAAACATACTTGTACTAGTAACATTTTACATAAAATTCAAAATACTACTCTTTTAAAGGTATTATCTACATGTATAACTGCTTGTATGCACATAGTATACTAGTACTTTAGCTATAAAAACATACTGGTAAAGCAATAACAGACTGCCTCACCCAACAAGATTATTCCCGAGTGATATGCATGCACTGCCAGTATTGCAGATATTTGTTTTACTTTTAAGAACTCAGAAAATGTTTTCTGTGGATGGAGATTAACAGGGTCTTCTGTGTAGCAGTTGTACAATGGCTCAAGGTACTGCCTGAAATAAACAATAAAAATACAGAGTCTGAATAATTCAATACTTTTCTTAATTAAAAATTCAATAATGATATATACTATAGTATGTTTTTAAATTCTACAGACATCATTGTGAAACATTTGTATATCTTCAATTTCTAGAAACTACCTGTATTTTGCAAATATTAAAATATCATCATATACTTAAATACACACATGTACATCATTTACCTAATTCTGTCAATGGTAGTTTGGTTTCCACTGTATGGCTTAAGTGGGGACAAGAATAACACACTCTTCTTTGATTCCATGCACTGGTTTCCGTCCTAGCAAAAATGATCCAGACAATTCATATCACACGAACAGTGACACACACACAAAATACATTGCCATTGCACTAAAAAATAGGATCCAACATAAAACTTCAAAGGTCTTTATCTTAGATCCTAGATTAAAACAAGGCTGACTACGAAAAATACTAAGAAGTTAATAAGATTTTAAGTGCACTGCAGAATCGGGACATTCAATAATTTACCAGCTGGGCCTTATTTTATGCGCACATTTGTGTACATTTGGGGCAAAGAAAACCAAGATATGTTATTCAGCCGTGCATACATTATTTTGAATGTACCTCTTGTCTTTACATACGACAAGGAGAAAAATAACAGGACTCACCAACCTCCTCTGCTATGCACTTTCACCTTTCACCCTTGAACCGGAAACAGGAAGAATATGTTTTCGTTTGAAATCGAGGCTTCACCCCATCAGAACTTTTGATAGAGTTATTTAGTTCACACATGAGTGACGGTCAGGTGACAGACAAGTGGAACCTCAATCTAATCGGAGACTCCAGGGCATTTTATGTCTGAAAGATCTGCTTTGGACTTACGGTGAAGCTACCAATTAATATCGGATTAACATCTGAGGAAAAGTTGCTATGATAGAAGAACTTGTAGAAAGTTCAAATTTGTGAAATCCACAATGAATAACAACAGCGAAAGGAGGCGATTGCTAGCTTCATCGGGACCAGGGCGCTTAAATAACAGAGCAATATGGCGACGCAGATTTGCCTGCTTTACAATACTCTCATCAGAAATGTTCGAGAGAATCGCTTTCTATGGAATCGCAGGAAATCTCGTCTTATTCTTGAACGAAGAACCATATCTTTGGACGTCATACAACTCTGTCAATGCCCAGGCCTTTTTCTTCGGAATTTCATATTTGATGTCTCTGGTCGGGGGTTTCATGGCAGACAGTGGTTGTGGAAAATACAGAAGCATTATTTTGGCCTTTATTTTTTACCTTGGTGGGTATTTGTTTATGCCATTTATGGCGCCGAACCCTTCCAACCTAAAAGCTGACTGGGACTGGGATGTCGTGAAAAATGTTACAAGAAAAAAAGCTCCAGCTTTCTGCAGAACTGAAACCACAGGCTGGTACGTTATAGGCAATAAGAGCTCAAGTGGAGATGATGATAACCACAGATATCCTTGGACTGAACAGTGTGCGTGGGCGGCATACTTGTCTCTTTTCATCATGGCATGTGGTGTGGGAATCGTGAAAGCAAATTTGGCACCTTTCGGAGCTGAGCAGGTGAAGGGCTGGTCTCTTACACCCCATTTCCATAGATTAGATCGACCTACTTTAGATCGACCTAATTCCCTGGGGGTTCACGCTAAATAGCTGTCAGCCGGGCGGACACGAAAGTTAATTACCCCCTTACAGCTTGTAGTAGGCGGGACGGACATTTAAGTCGGATTATCTGAAAGTAATCTAGTGAGACTCCCTGCGGGGATAGATCGATCTAAAATCTATGGGAATAGAGCCACAGTAACACTGCTGTAATCATTAAAGGAAATGATGATAATAATATGAAACAGTTCACCATGAAGAGATTCCTAGTATATATTACTTTCACGGTTGTGTTTTTGAAATATAAGTAACAGACTGCTGTATATCTCCCACATTAAACATGAAGTGTAAACTAGAACAAGGATCAACAATTGCAGTATCATTATCAGTACTTGAAATCAATTAGACCCATGCATGATAATGCAAACAGTTTATCAGTAATGCAATGATAATGGTATTCTCCTGGATACTTCATGTTGTATACATACATAACTACTATTTGTTTTACTGTTTGAATGCATTCAATTTGGCAGTTCTACACGTATTCAGAGCCAAGCCCCACTGTATCTAAACATTTATCACAATGTCTATTGTTTTCAAAATGATTGCTCTTTCATTTTATCTGTATTAAATGTGATTTTTGTCACATAACAAGGCTTTACAGTTAAGCTAAAATTTTGGTAAATGAATGCAGCTGGTCCAGCGTTGTCAAAACATGCCCTTCCATTGCCCTCTACCAGGGTGGTAGATATTATAGGCAAATTTTCCAAAAGCCAGAGAACCAAATGGCCAGCTATTTATGTAAAGACATATCTGTGAATAACTTGTGAAAAATCAATCTATTGCCCTGGTAGGGGGTACTTCTCCATCTTAACTCTGCATAGCCATGTATTCTGTGACATAAGAGCTCTTTTTATTTTTTCAATGTCTTTTATTTAAAGCAGCTAAATGGTCTACCCACCCCCTCTTCTTCAATCTTTTCAGGTTAATCGTGATTTAGTTTTATTGAACTGTGACGGTTTTTTTTTGTTTTTTTTTCAGGTTCGTCGTGATGGAGCAGAGGTGATGCGGACGTTTTTCAACTGGTACTACTGGTGTGTTAACATAGGGGCATTTTTATCACTTACAATCATAGCTTATGTGCAGCAAAATATCGATTTCTTCCGTGGATACTTAATACCTCTAGTATGCCTTGGAGTCTCATTCCTTCTGTTTGTCATAGGTATTGTATCACTTTTTTACCGTCAGAATATGACACTTATCTTATTACTGTTATTTTGTATATATATATGCAAGGCTTGATAGATTTTTACTGAAATAAATGTTTTGGCCCTGGTGATATTTCAAAGTTTGTTTCCCAGCATATTTCTAGAAAGCATTTTTATCATTTTACCACAAACAAGCAGAGATGGAGAAAATGATGGATTTGCTAAAAAAAATGTCATTAGGTTCGAGAAATTGCTAACTTATCCAACTTCCATGTTGACAAGGGATTAATTTTCTAAATTATGTTACATGATTGCCTATCAGTTGAAATGGAATTAGAATGTCTGTTTTCGTGTCATTCAGTGTACTAACCTAGTTTAGTGTTGACTCTCAGACTGTTTGAACACATGATGTGTATGATAGAGGATATTCTGTCAGTTATCTTGTCCAATTGTGAAATGAGTGATAAGCCACATTCAGATTGCTTTCAATTGCAGCATCCCACAATTAGCAATCGGTACAAAAAGTGGTTTGTTGGATTTTAAAGGTATCAAATGGGGGTGGGGGGATTGCAATCAGGTGTAGATTTCTAGGACTGGAAACTAAAATGTTATTTGAAACATTACTATGGTGTACTGTAAACTACTTTATGTTTAATAACATATATGTTGATAATTATTCAATATTTTACAGGTACTCCTGCCTACATTAGGAGGCCGGCTACCGGGAGTGTTCTTACCAATATTTTCAAGATTATAGGTGAAGCATTTAGGAACCGAAGAAATAGAAAAGTAATTGATGGGCAGTTACCTTTCCATAGGTAATTTATCTAGGATGAATAGAAAATAATCGTTGCTTTTTTATTAATATTCTTTGATTCTCATAAATCAGTTGATTGTATCAGTGAGAAAACAGTCCAGCTTTGTAAGTAAATGTTCTGGTGTAAGATTGGTAAATTGCATATTTTGATGAATGTAAAATATGACAACCTTACTCTTTGAATTAAAGATCTGTTCTTTCAGGGTGCAGATCTGTATTATTTCCCCAGTCAACAATTATGATCCATAATTAGCAAATGGGTCAATCAGCATTAGGCTGTTGACTGTTGATCTTCACCCTGATATCAGTGCATTGAGGTAGAATTTTAACTAAACATTGTTAATTGCAGTGAAGAACACGTCGACTCTGCAGACTTGTCACACAGTAGTAAACCCACAGACTGTCTGGACTATGCCAAAGTGCGCTTTGGAGGCAGCTACCATGAGTCTATGGTAGATGATGTCAAGGCCTTGGGGAAAATTATGATGGTCTTCTCAGCACTCATTCCATATTGGATGGTGTATTTTCAGGTATATAGGAATTTTGTTATGTGTTGTTTGAAAAAATTTTAATAACTTTTGCATAAAGAAGTATAGATAATTTTCTCTTTATTTGAGTTTGGATGAAGTATTATTTTTGGCAATTTCTTTTTTTAGATGGAATCCACATTTCTTGTGCAAGGTCTTCACATGAGTCTGAGTATATTTGAACCCAAAAAGGAATATGACGTAAGTTTATTTAGGCATATTATTGTGTGTTTTAATTAAAATAAGTTTTTGTTTTACATTTTATTTGTTTCAATTACATTTTCATTATTTCCTTTTTTCATTTTTGGGAATGATGAGATGTTCTAATGCAGCTAGTAAGAATGGTGACAAAATATTTTATAATGATTTTTGAGATTATTTTAAATGTTTTTCAGGAATAAAAAAAGAACTAAGCATTATAAAACATAAGTGAAAAATGCCTCAATGCAAACCTTAAAATCATTATTAATATTCAGTTATTAAATTATTTGAAGTTTTATTTATTTTTATGTTTTCCTTGCAGGTACCAGTTGCCAGTCTTTCTCTTTTTGATGTCCTCTTTTTGTTGTTTCTAATCCCTCTGTTGGACAGATGTGTCTATCCTAAACTTGACCGCTCTGGAAGACAGTTTAGCATGATCTCCCGTATTACAGTTGGACTGTTGTTTTCTGTCCTTGCTGTTGCAATGGCGGGGGGTATTGAGACAATACGATTACATGATGTACATAACAACGGGATCATCATACAGGAAATTGGTAAGTAGTTTAAAAGTTATATTTAAAGGGATAAAAACTCTATGTTTGAGTTTCATATTTCACAATAAATACATTGTTAACACTTCATAGAAGTATAATAAATTCTATTTTACCACCAAATCAGTGGTAACTGCACTTATCCTGAAATCTGTGTTTGCCATCAGTCCATGTGACCTCCATAGATGGCTACCCTTTGTTATAATCTCTAAAGAGATTATTACAAAAAGCCAAATTTTTTTTTAACCATGGACTATCTTTGAATGTCAGAATGGATTCATTGACCATTGGTTAGTATGGAAAAATTAATGTTTACCCCAGAAAAATAATTTTTTTGCCAAAACGAACAGTTGTTATCCCTTTAAGAGGAAATTTATTGGCCAAAGAGAACAGTTGTTATCCATGTAAAAGGAAATTGTTTTGTAGTGTGTAATAGAGATTATAATTACTGATATCATGTTAATGCTTTTAAAGATTGTAATAGATGTAAGGGTATTTTTCATTTGAAATGACTTTCCAAATGTTTATTTTACCTTTGATAAATTTACATTCTTGTTTATAGGAAACACTTCATATAATGCTTCACACCTAAGTATCCTGTATCAGATTCCACAGTACTGCCTAATTGGTATCAGTGAGGCTTTTGCCAGTGTCGCAGGTATATGTTACTTGGATAGGTTTATCCTTCTATCTGATTCAGAATTAGGACAGCATGTGTAAAAATTTATAGAAATTGAATGTGAAATGGTACTCATAACCTTTTTCCCTAGATGTTTTTCTTGTATTTTACCCACATTGATGTCTTTTCAAATCAAAGTTTCAAGATATCCCAATAAGTCAACAGAATTATAATATATAACTTGACCAAAAAGAACGAAGGTAACGTTGTTTTATATTTTGTTCATTTCAGGTCTGGAGTTTGCCTACTCTCAATCTCCAGCTTCTATGCAGAGCATCATTATGGGGTTGTTTTGGCTTTTTAGTGGAATTGGGGCTTTGCTGGGTACTTTTTCCATGGTTTGGTTCCAGGGTGTGTGGTTTTTTGACCAGGATAATGGAAATATAAACTGTAAGTTTACATGTGGTAAGAATAAGACATGTGAATGCCACCTGGACTACTACTATTACTTTTTAGCAGGGCTCCAGCTTGTTGGACTTCTGATTTTCTTTGTGGCTGCTAGGTATTATAGGCTGGGTGAAGTTAAAAAGAAAAAGAGAACACAAAACGGCCTTGGTAATATAAGCGATGATTCGAGCCACGTGCAGAAAACTATCTTTGATGGATGATAAACGTGATTACCATACTCAATTGGTTTTTCAATGACATCAAGTCAAAACGTACAAAATATGCACTTGGCTTAAGTAATGGCATGTATTTAACATTTAGAACTGCATTCAGGTTTTATCAAGTTCAAACTGTGGGAGAAATTTTTTGTAAATTTTGAAACTTTTTGTATCTTGCCATTAAGCCATATCATTTATTGAGTTTTTAAATTGTTTATGTAAAATGTTACTCTGCAGCATATGCTGTTGATATGTTGAAGTGTTGTTCTTCTTCACCTGAGTTGCTTTTTGTTAGAAGATGAGCCAATATAAGGGCTAGAATTCAGGTTAAAAGTTTCCTATAAGGCCATCTCAGTCTTTGCAGCATGTTATAAACAACAATTTAAACTGATACCCAGATAAGAGCCACTAGAAATAGTCCATATCAAATGTATTATGTACGTCAAAGACTATGACCCCATTTCCATAGATTTTAGATCGATCTATCCCTGTGGGGAGTCTCACTAGATTACTGTCAGCTTAGCCGGCTTAGGCGTCTGTCCCGCCTACTGAAAGCTGTAAGGGGGTAGTTAACTATGGTGCGCGCTCGGCTGACTGCAATTTAGCGTGAACCCCCAGGGAGTTAGGTCGATCTAAATCTTAATCCCTGGATCGATCTAAATCTCTGGGAATACACCTATGATTGTTTGTGCCAAATGGCATATACAGTAATTCCGATATTGCCCGACAGAATACTAAACTTGTAGATATTAAAAGCATAATACATGAAATAGTGTAACTACTATACAACCAAATAATGAGGGTCAATCCTCAAAAAGAGAACATTTTAGTCATGTCTGTGAGCCACATATTTGTTTTGTGTAATATTTGCATGATAGATTTATATTGTTTTTAATCACTGTTGACTTTTTTTCATATTGGAGGGTCATTCAGTATAGAACAGTGCAAAAAAAAAAAAAAAATAGGCGAAGTCAAAATTATGCAAATATAACACAATATCTGTTCTTTACTGACTTGAAATTAATGTTCCTCCTTATGGATATGACCCATGACACCATTAGATAGCCATTGTTTTGTCTATATGTGCTTCATTCCTGGCATGTATGTCTAACAGAATTGAATGCCTTGATGTTTTCTTACATGAATGTTGAATAAAATAAGAAACCATTCCATTATATATTTTGTAAAAAAAAAAAAAACAATTTTACAAATGGACGATAAGATTTTCTAAAATATGCATTTAATTAAATGCGATGTCATGTACCTTATGCATAGTTGTAATCCCTGACCTGAAGTGTTAATGATTTTTACAATTAAAAAAGGTACTTTCATTAGTTTTTGTTGCCACCTGACAGGTACACCCAAACTTTGAATGATAAATGTTCATGTTGGAACATGAGATAAGAGAAAGAATGTTGATGACCATGACAAAATTGCTCTTAGTAAATGAAATGCAGCATTGTCATCATTATGTATACGTTTAAGGTGTGTATTGAACATCAGGATTACATTGATAGTTCAATTCAGATTAGTTTCTTATCATACAGCATTAAATGCCTTAATAGGGTGTTTAGTTCATACGTGTTATTTTGTAGATTGATGAAACAAAATTAATACTCCATTGTGTGAAATTTCAAATGATGAAAAATGACAAATAACGGCTACAGCTACAGTTATTACAGAGGTTCCCATTTGTGGGATTTTTTTGCATTGAAAGGTTCATGTTCCTACTGCTGGCTGGTAGGAATGAAGAGAGTGATGTAGCCTATTCCTCTGAAGGTATTGCGAATAAACTGTCCATTAAAAATAGTGCTTGTTGTTGTTGTATTTTGTTTGGTTTTCATTTTTCTTTGAAGCATACTCGAAATTTAGATTATAAATGTCATCAGAAGCTGATGTTGATAATGCTTGTCCCAGTAATTAGTGACAATAAAAACCAAAACAAGTGAAATTTGTTTTTTTTTCTGTGATGGCCAAGATTTAAGTAGTTTTCACCTCCATTTACATGATGTGTTAGTTGAGCTACCTTTGTTCAGTAATTTATGTGAGACCACCTGATGCATTATTGTGATCCACCTGGTGCATTATATATGATGGTTCAAAAATTTTGTTATCACCTCTAATAGGATGGATTACAATATCTGAAATAAAATGTCAAAATATGCCCTCGATTCGTAAATGTAACACATTTACAAAATATCTGCAGCGTAAACAGTTTTGATAAACACCCAAAACTCTAGTTTCATTTTAAGTGTTTTGGAATTCTCAATTTTATTATTCAGACATGGAACTGTACATTTTCACAAATGATGTTAAACTTGTCAACCATGTTTTTACTTGAGAAGTTCTCATTTTTTGGATGGATTTTTTGTTTCAAGCACACTAACAAGTTCATTTATATATAAGATTTTTTAAAAAAGATTACAGACAGATTACTACTTGGAAGCGTTTTCAACTTACAACATAACTGTTGGCTATAACAAAAAGGTTCTCCACATAGTTTGTACCATAGTCCATCCACAGTTTTTAATTTATTATTATTTTTTTTTTGCTATTAAGATTGATATTTTCTTTTTAGCCAGATATGGTATTTCATTTACAAAACCTTTTGAATAGACAGATTAAATGATATCTAGGCAAATTACATGGGGAGTCTTATCAAATTCTCAAAAAGAAACAACAACAACAACAAAAAAAAAAAAAAAAAAAAAAAGCAATTTTCATGTCAATAACACAAAATGCCTTCATTTCAGCTAAAACTGGTCTGAAACTGAAAATGGTCTTCCTTTTATTTTGCTTTTGTACAGACACATCTGTTTCTGCATATAAAAATGGGTTTGTCAAGAAAGCCCCAAAGGAGCATAATGGTGCAGTTACAAGTGCTGTATATATATATATATATATATATATATATATATATATATATATATATATATATTCAAATGTTCTCTCACACTGGAGCATTGTTGGCCAAGTTAATGATTTTCATGTCACAAACTCTGATGATATGTTAACAGGAGTTCTAAAAGCAGAAACAGTCATCAATTTTACTCATTTATTTCACATTTGTAATGGAGCTCAACAGGAATAATTTGATGTATATAATGGTATTTACATGATATGAATATGTTACTGATGTCAATAAATACAATAATAAGGAAGTGTTACCAGACGACTGGGTAATCAAACCAGTTGTGAAAACATCTATAACATTTGCACAACTATACGATTACATAATGATCCAACATATTTAACCTGTGAAGTAGCTACACCATTCTTGCTGTCCTTTTCCTCTGCCAAGATTAACCTAATGGATTCAATATTTTGCAGTAGTTTCATAGATTCTTTTAACAGTGATATGAAAACAAATAAAACTTTATTTTCAGTCTATCAGAGAAATAATTTTATCTTTTCTAAATGGTCCACCACTTTAAATAGCACAACTGTAGATCTGTTTTTTGACATTTTTAATCTCTACCTTCTACACAACAAAAACATTTCTTCTTTTCTGAAACACAATTCAGTGTTATGCACTGAAGCAGTTATCCTTAATAATTTCTATAGCTTTTCTAGAATTAATCATATTAGATTTATCAAAAAGTTTAGCCATTCTTATTTCATGTCAATTACATAAGAACAAATCTATGGTTATCTTGGCAGGACAAAATTCTTTTACTTATCTCTGGCAAGACAAAGCACACATACTGCACCATACACAAAATATATACATATGAATGACATCTAATGATATCTAATATAACTGAATTTATTTAAAATATGGCATATAACAGAATATTTTTGTAAGTAATAAACGAACACAGTAAGTACTACATATTATCAAGAATTCTTGATATTATAAATACAAACATGTATTTGGGACCCAAAAAGGTATTTTGCTCATCACTCATCTAAGATCGTAATGCACTGTGTTATGCATTTGACTCTTTGAGATTGTCAAAGTACACCAAAATTTCATCATGTGTCATCCCCAAAGCATCCTGATCCCATAATAAACTGCCATCTGAATGGTCAGCTTCTGCCTCAGGAAGATTGTTTGTCTCTTCCTGTTCTCCACTGTCTCCCTCCTCTTCTGCATCTGCCTGTGGGTTGCTGGTTATACGTATACTACATTCTGAGCCTTTATATGTAGAGACTGCACTAGATCGACTACCAATAGAGTTACGAGCACTGTGAATTGACTGTGAGCTGTGGCGCTTCTGCTCATCAAAGTCTGCCTTTGGCATCAGAGTTTCTGAGCATTGGGTTTTAAAAGAAGTGCGCTCCAGAGTGGAGCTTCCAATCCAGACCCAGTCCATAGCCTGGGCAATAGATTCACTACTGTCTTTTGGCACACGCTTACGTCTGTAACGTACAACAAATACAATACAATTGACCAAAAATACAAAGATAGCTAATACAAACACAGCAAGTAAAATATACATTCCAATCTCAAGGGGTGTGATCCCATTCATTTTACTCATTTGCTGTGGCTGTGCTTCTGTCTCTGGCTCAGTTTTAGGCAGAGGTTGGGGTGCAGACTTAGGCAAATTACCCAGATCAATCCCAAGTGGGATGTTTTCCACTCGTTCATATTTATCTTTTGACCTTGACTTAGTCTCCTTCTTTTCTGTTGTTTTATCAAAGTCCTTATTCAGATCAATATGTAGGAAGCCTTTGTCTGTGTAAATCTCCTTTATTTCCCATCTGTCACTTGCACTATTAACTAGAGGGCTAAAATGCCCATCATTCTGCAGATGCTCCCCAAATTGTTCATCTCGGGAGAAATCAACATCCACATAGACATATGTTATAGACAAGGGTTTGGTTTTACGTCGCTGGCAAGATTCATTCACTTCGAGAGTCAATTTGAGTAACTCCCCTTTTCCTTGCCCCACTGCAATGACGTGAGGCTGTGCAGGACCATACAATCCACCCTTGGCTACCACATGGTTGTTCAGAGAAGCAGTATCCAGAGTAAAACTAGAGGAAGGGAAGTAGCGCAGGGGCATCACACTGCCATCAGAGAACTGAACTGATATGTCTAAAATTCCTTCCTGAAAATTTAAAGGAAACAAATTAATGTATTAAGAAAGAGATATTTCATTTGCTCGCTCTTATTTCCTTCCAAAATGGAAATGAAAACAGGGAAATGATCTGGTAGAATAGGGAAATGACTTTCATTTACTTTCACTTTGGGATCATGCTGAATAATACTCATGTTGAAAAGAAATCAATTGCTGCATGTGTCGTGCTGAGAAGCAGTACAGAGCAACTTGATTGAATGAGTTAATTTTCATTTCTCTGCACTTGCACTGAATACAACCTCCCTCAGGACTGTGCTGGTCAATCTAGGCTGTATTAGCATTTTCTCTCAAGCAAAAATAATGGGGCAATTCTTGCATGATTATTTATGCAAAACAATCTGCTCTTATTGTCAAACACTGTAAAATTTGTTTCAGGGCTCCCATATAGAAAAATTGTCATGCACAGTCGATATATCCCAAATAAATAAACATAATGAAAAAAGAGCTTTGCTGAACCTTGTAGAATTATTTTCCACCCAATATAATTACTAAAAGCTGGTGCTTGCTGTATAATATGATTAGGCCACAGTTTTCCATTAGATACACAGAATTCTGCATGGGCAAAGAATAAATCCCTTGACTCTGCATTCATGCATTACGAGCATCATCACTTAATGCAGACCAAAAATCAATACCCTTTTCTAATGACTTTTATGGCACTGAACACACACTAAGCAATATGCGCTTAATTTGAAGGGAGCAGTCTTAGCCATACTACTAACATGACTGATGGTGCATGATCAATCTTTTATGTCTAGGGAATCTCATCAATATACTGTTTCATAGTGGGAGGTTTGTGTGCCAAGCCTAGCTATTAGTATATGACAAATCCTTAGCACAAAATATGAATCCTCCAAAATGTGCCAATTCTATATGACACACCCTAATAAGCATCAAATAAGACATTCCAAAGTGTAAACATGTATTTTAGTCAGTGGATTTTAAGGTCACACAGTACAAAGTGGGGCTTTTTTTTTTTACTCAAATGCTGCATCAAAAGGAAAATGTGGTCAACTCCAGATGTGCTTACTTGTTTTCATAGTCACTTCCCGCCATGCGGGGGAAGTATGTTTCCTTCCCCATTTACAAACACATGCACAGTTGTCTGCTTGTTCCAAGGTTATGCCTAAACATCTCTGTTTTATATCAATTAAAGACATGTATACACAAGAATTTAAAGGGAAATATAGTTCTCCTCCAAAACACCAGACCTTCCAAATATCTGACCATTAGCATTGGAACTTTTTATGTCCATTCAACCTGACATAAAATTCCAAAATATTACCTCCCATACACGTCTAGGTAAAATTGTGCAGATGAAATGATACAAACTTGAATCTTTGCCAAAATTCTGAGATGTTTAAGCACCACTTGTAAGAGATGCAAAGAGCACAAATCGACCAAACTGAATATCATTTATGCAAGGAAAAGATACACAGAAATAAAGAACTGGCCCTTCAGTCAATTTACCTGGTATTTCCTTTGCAGCTGCTGTTCTATCTTGATGTTAGCTACATAGGTGTTGGCCATTTCTTGCCAGGGGTCTATGGTTACACTTAAATTGGTTACCATGGTGACCAATAATTTTTCCAGGGATACTTTGTCAGTGCCCACACGCACTTCACACGCACCCACCACACGTCCATTTGGAGATAGAACCTGGTGTAGAAATTTGTAATGAAATTGCTTTATCCAATATAACTCAAGGCATTTTAAATCACGTAACAGATACACCAAAAAAGTATTTTGATTTTCTCTCTTTTTATTGTTCTGTCTACTTTATATAATAAATTTATTCCATAGAACCATCAAAATAAAGCATTTTATATTTCCTCTAGTTTATATTTCAATCGAGGGAAATCTGTTTCTGCTGACCTTTGTCTTAAAACACAAATTGATAGAAGAAAATCTAATGAAAATCAATCTCTTACTTGAACTTCAGTAAGTCCTTGGCGTTTTCCTTCCACCAAACGGCCACGAAGGTCAGCAATACTTGAATCAGCTATCCTCAACTGGTTGGCAATGAGATCTGTTACACGCACTGAGGCTTTTTTCAGTGGTAAATATTCATTTCTGTCACCTCTGGGGATGCGGAACTTTGCATAGACTTCCACTAAAGACTGCTGATACCTTAACCGACATGGATTGTTGGACTCTGCACTGTCTGCAAATGTCTTCCCCTTGCGGGACTTTTGCATGAGAAGTCCATGAGTTACTGGCCCAGTTTCTCTATAAGACAAAAATTAATTTTAATTATTACACAACTGCACAAGAACATATCTTTTAGAAATATAGAGCCACAGAAATATTGTAATATGAGCAAAGAGTAACAATCTGAATAACAACAAACAATTACCTACAAATGATATTAAGTTTTTCAAATCAAACATATTTCTCCTCATAAATAGATCTTCACTAGTAACTGGTATCATGACTGAATTTCACTACACAGTTCATCTTTTTCCTTACAACAAATATTTTTTTGAGGGAAATGTGACATCTTGTTTGAGCATGTGGTCCAGCCATGACTGACATACTGGTATTTGTTTGGAAGAGAACATGCACTTGCATATCATTATGTTCCTAATTTTTTAGAAAATGTTTCTCAAATATGTCAGTAATGTAAAGGAAATACAATCTTTCCAGGAGTTAAATGGCTTCTTCGATGAAATCATGCCCTAAATAATCATGGGGGGGGGGGGGGGGGGGGGGGAATAATTTTTTGAGGGNACTGCTGCATGTGTTGTGCTGAGAAGCAGTACAGAGCAACTTGATTGAATGAGTTAATTTTCATTTCTCTGCACTTGCACTGAATACAACCTCCCTCAGGACTGTGCTGGTCAATCTAGGCTGTATTTGCATTTTCTCTCAAGCAAAAATAATGGGGCAATTCTTGCATGATTATTTATGCAAAACAATCTGCTCTTATTGTCAAACACTGTAAAATTTGTTTCAGGGCTCCCATATAGGAAAATTGTCATGCACAGTCGATATATCCCAAATAAATAAACATAATGAAAAAAGAGCTTTGCTGAACCTTGTAGAATTATTTTCCACCCAATATAATTACTAAAAGCTGGTGCTTGCTGTATAATATGATTAGGCCACAGTTTTCCATTAGATACACAGAATCCTGCATGGGCAAAGAATAAATCCCTTGACTCTGCATTCATGCATTACGAGCATCATCACTTAATGCAGACCAAAAATCAATACCCTTTTCTAATGACTTTTATGGCACTGAACGCACACTAAGCAATATGCGCTTAATTTGAAGGGAGCAGTCTTAGCCATACTACTAACATGACTGATGGTGCATGATCAATCTTTTATGTCTAGGGAATCTCATCAATATACTGTTTCATAGTGGGAGGTTTGTGTGCCAAGCCTAGCTATTAGTATATGACAAATCCTTAGCACAAAATATGAATCCTCCAAAATGTGCCAATTCTATATGACACACCCTAATAAGCATCAAATATGACATTCCAAAGTGTAACACGTATTTTAGTCAGTGGATTTTAAGGTCACACAGTACAAAGTGGGGCTTTTTTTTTTACTCAAATGCTGCATCAAAAGGAAAATGTGGTCAACTCCAGATGTGCTTACTTGTTTTCATAGTCACTTCCCGCCATGCGGGGGAAGTATGTTTCCTTCCCCATTTACAGACACATGCACAGTTGTCTGCTTGTTCCAAGGTTATGCATAAACATCTCTGTTTTATATCAATTAAAGACATGTATACACAAGAATTTAAAGGGAAATATAGTTCTCCTCCAAAACACCAGACCTTCCAAATATCTGACCATTAGCATTGGAACTTTTTATGTCCATTCAACCTGACATAAAATTCCAAAATATTACCTCCCATACACGTCTAGGTAAAGTTGTGCAGATGAAATGATACAAACTTGAATCTTTGCCAAAATTCTGATGTTTAAGCACCACTTGTCAGAGATGCAAAGAGCACAAATCGACCAAACTGAATATCATTTATGCAAGGAAAAGTTACACAGAAATAAAGCACTGGCCCTTCAGTCAATTTACCTGGTATTTCCTTTGCAGCTGCTGTTCTATCTTGATGTTAGCTACATAGGTGTTGGCCATTTCTTGCCAGGGGTCTATGGTTACACTTAAATTAGTTACCATGGTGACCAATAATTTTTCCAGGGATACTTTGTCAGTGCCCACACGCACTTCACACGCACCCACCACACGTCCATTTGGAGATAGAACCTGGCGTAGAAATTTGTGATGAAATTGCTTTAACCAATATAACTCAAGGCATTTTAAATCACGTAACAGATACACCAAAAAGTATTTTTATTTTCTCTCTTTTTATTGTTCTGTCTTCCTTATGAATTTATTTCAAAGAACCATCAAAATAAAGCAATTTATATTTCCTCTAGTTTATATATCAACCAAGGAAGATCTGTTTCTGCTGACCTTTGTCTTAAAATACAAATTGATAGCAAAAAATCTAATGAAAATCAATCTCTTACTTGAACTTCAGTAAGTCCTTGGCGTTTTCCTTCCACCAAACGGCCACGAAGGTCAGCAATACTTGAATCAGCTATCCTCAACTGGTTGGCAATGAGATCTGTTACACGCACTGAGGCTTTTTTCAGTGGTAAATATTCATTTCTGTCACCTCTGGGGATGCGGAACTTTGCATAGACTTCCACTAAAGACTGCTGATACCTTAACCGACATGGATTGTTGGACTCTGCACTGTCTGCAAATGTCTTCCCCTTGCGGGACTTTTGCATGAGCAGCCCATGAGTTACTGGCCCAGTTTCTCTATAAGACAAAAATTAATTTTAATTATTACACAGCTGCACAAGAATATATCTTTTAGAAATATAGAGCTGCTGAAATATTGTAATATGAACAAAGTGTAACATTCCGAATACGTTTGGTTTTGAGTAGAAATGTAACCAGCTGAGGGTAAGCAACACACATTTTCTAATGTTCATAATATCAATTAAAAAACTGTTTCCATGGCATTTTCATGTGTTTGTGAAAGTATGCTTGACTGAATGGCAGCCCAACTGGCTGGAGCAGGTAAAAGAAAACAAATGCAGTGAATGTGATGAAATCAAAGGATTCACAGTGGTGTTTTGTTACACAGCAGGCAGGGACTGCTGAAAGATGTTTTCTTCCCAGTATCCTTTCCATAATGTAAAAACTGACTGTGCTGTTAACTTTATGTAACAAATATTGGTCATGGGTTTCAAATAGGTCTCTTTTGAATGGAATAACTTCATGGAAAATTGTGGTTAAAATATGTGGCTGAGAGTGGTTTACAGAAAGGTTATCCCCCATGCTGAGGCAAACAGATACCACTAACTGTACAAGAACTAATCAATATCTCTATAGCTGAAAATGGAAACATGACTTTTGGGAATCAGATGTGCCACTGTTTATCAAGGGTTTAAAAGATAACTCCTTCACTCAATATTGGTGAGAACGTCATCCAATTCGTACAAAATGCACTCCAATAGAACCTATTTGGACACCGATATTTGTTTATAAATATGACTGGTTACACCGAATGAGCTTAAACCATTAAAAAAAAAAAGAGAACATTGGACTTGATATTGAGTAACACAGTGTACGTTGCATGGACCACATACCAACCCCTTTGATTCTCCAGCCCTATTATTTACCACATCCTATCTTGATACATCTTGGATAGTGGTTGAATTGTACTAGCATCCATCACTGACTGGGATTTATTACTTTTGACATGATACAGCCTAGAGTGAGGACCGTATGAAGTGACGTCTGGCTTTGCTCCGCTGCACTCCTATCAAGTCCCAAACCAGTTTATAGCAGGCACGCAGGTACATCAAAGGTTCCTTTAACAGGTATTTGACCCCCTGCCCTCCCTCTTTTGTGATATTGAGAGGCATTTTTTCCACACCAGCTCTATTGCCAGACCCATCCATCATTGAAGATATTAAATTAATGTGCCACAAATACGGGACCAAACACCTAAATGCTACATAAACTGGCATAGAAGACACTATTGGACCACCACATTAATTTTTTCAAGCATTAAATACTACCTAGAAAAATAAATCAACTACAAACAAAGGGATGGTATCATTTTACTACCAAACAAAGTGTTACCATCCCCATTAAACTTCTAATTTCCTCCACATTTTTCAAAGCGACGCCACTTAAGGAGACCTCTTGAACATTATCCACAAAAAAGTCACATTTTTTTGTTATACAAGTGCTTCCTCTTAAAACACTGAAGAATCTATGATATATTTTCATTCCAGGATGCCGTGCCCTTCTTCATTATGAGACTGACTGGCCTTTGAAGTGAACACTTGGCATTTTATATTTACTGGTATATGCATAAACCCCCTAAGTTTGTAAATGTCAGAATACAATTGTGGATTAGATTCAGTGGCCCAGTCCTGTACTTCTAAAACCTCACACCATGCTTGTTTGCAATTTTTGTGTCCATGTTGTGATATCTTTTATTTCTCAACAACAACATCAACAAAAATCTTTATGTTAACCTTACATTCACAATGAAGACTGATTATATTTCACTTTTTTATAAAAAGAAAAGACCTTTAAAAACTGCTGAAAACTATTGCTTGCTTTGTTGCTCTTCAGTAAGATAACCCACCACCTTACCCACAAAGAAAGAATCAGAAGCTCAACACTTCTCTTTTTTTACTGAACTGCAAGGCACTTTGATCTTGGCCCAGCTATGTTATTGACTAGCCAGGAAAAAAAAAACACCCTACTACTACAACTCTGAATAATTCACTGCCTCCTGTATAGACAAGATTTTATCACTAAAGTTCCTGCACAGGTCCTACCTCTTCTTCCTCCCTGGCGGCACTTTCCAAGCCTTGATCTGACTGAGTTTGTTGTCTGACAGAACCACTTCAAGAGGAAAATCTGGCACCCAGACTCTAAAATTTAGTTCTTGAGAGAAGGTCCCACATGACAGAGTGATAGTGACTTGATCACTCCCTGTGCTCTCTGTGCCGTCTAAATACACATCAAGGCAACTGCTGGACACCTAAAACAACCAAGAAATAAACAAAACATAAGCCTTAGTTATTATTATTCAGTTACAAGTGACATAAATCAGAAATTTGCCAAAGCCATCTTGCATTTTAAAAAACAATGTTTCTCATTACATACATGTACAAACAAAGTCAAAAGAAGACTACTTTTTTAATGATATCTGAAACATAATGTTGTCTGGGTTTTCTGAAAACAATTTTTTAACAAAATGATGACAGTGTTGTAAGTCTAGACCCCCCTTAACTTGCATACAGTTGTGTTTTTCTGCAGCTTCTAGTAGACTGTCAGAAAAATGAACTTTTGTCTGACTGAAGTTGCAAATGCAGCAATTATTAGCTATGGGATGCCTCTTGGCACTATCTTTCAATCCTTTCAAATACAAGGTTGGATAATAGAATTTATCACATTGCTCTCAATATGACAATCGATATCTGATATTATTGCAACCAACCTTAAAAATAATTGAACATTGTGCTTTGCAAGATCAATATTTAGTTTTTCATTAACAAAGCACTGATTTGATTATGGATACAAGAAAAAGGCATCAGCAATCAACGTTGTATTGAAATCAATGAAATGAAAAATATCCAGCTGCTACAAGTTGCCAATCAGAACTACATTCAAAACAACATGAAATGACAGCAAGACATGGGGCTTTTTTTCACAGGCAAAATACCTTTTCCTAGGATTAATTCATCATTCAGTTTAGATCACATAGTATAAAACATTTGGAGTTTCGAAAGTGCTTCTTCTCAGTCTTCTCAGCTTTTACATAAATTAATGAAAGATGATAGTCCGTACCTCTTTCAATTTTCATTCCATATTTATAAACCATTTTTAATGGCACACAACCTGTTTCAAAGGCATAGATAGTGTTATTGACTGGTTCATTGGTCCTGTTAAAATCTTCTGGACTAATTGGTCTCTTTATGTTTTAAAACAGTGCTGTAATCAATATCTTTCTTCTATCATGAAAGCCCACACAGGTCAGATCACAGGTGTAGTTTAGTTTTCAACTCGGCACTAATGCCAACCAGAAAGATATCTATTGGGAATAAACTGGTAAAATCGCTGTTGGAAATGAGCACATTTGGACCATCTCTAGAGGAAACATTTCCTGTAAGCTTTTACACTATAATGGAAATCAACATAACTGTGTAAAGTACCCCTGGAAAAAGCTGCGATGTGGTGGCACCCAGTGGAATGGATTTCTTCAGTAACAACTGCTTGATGCTCTCAGGGCTCAGAAAGATCGATTCCCATGTATACAACATACTATCTAAAACACTACCACTTGAATAACACAAGATGAAGAACAAAAAGCATTTTTCTATGAGATTAGGCCAATTTCTTAAATCTCAAAGCACATGATCGCATGTGTGCTTGTGCCAGGGATTGTAAATGGGCTCAATACCTTAAGTACTGAGCTGAAAAAAACTTTCATCCAGGGGCATCTACTTGCCATCCAATAATGAATACTTTTCCTCACCACTGATATATTATGGTTCTCAAATAATCATAAATATTATATTATGAGAACAATGCATAATCTTTCAAAGCAACAACAGAATCAAAACAAAAGTTGTGTAAAAATGTATCTGTACTACATGTACTCACCTTTAATGCATCAGGCATATTAGATACACAGGTACAGGTTGCCCTGATGTCTTTAACAGTACCTCCTTTGCTCACACCAAAGACATTCAGGGGGAACATTTGCTGCTTTCCAGTTAAAATGGCAGTATTGATCAGTTCTGTGTTCTGTAATGAAAAAAAAAAAATACTTTAAAATATGTATGTTTTTCTCACCAACCCTAAAATCTTGATGCTTTTAATAAAATATTTTAGTAATTATTCTCTAAATTAAACAATATCAACAAAATCCAAATAACAAGAGCAAGTTGTTGTGTATGAGTTTTCTTGGGGCGTATTTGGCAAATATGCATAGATATACTGCACTTCCTCCCAAAAATCCATTTTCATTCCATTCTAATTTACCAAACCATATTATCTCACGCTGTTTCTTATTCAAGTTCTGTATTGAACACCATTACTGAAAATGTGCAGTTATTCATCTCCCTTCTGCTAGTCCCCAAGATATAAATGTTAGCACATGCTTCACCTACTGCCATATATTAACCCAATATGCTGTGGTATTTGGATTATTTGGACCTCAGAGTGAAAAGAGGTGGTTGAAATCAGTCTGACTTGTGATCTGAGGTACAATAAAAATAAAGTATTTTAAGGCTGTTGAAGTCTAGCCAATGGTAACAACCTTAGATTACTTGTATATAAGTTTATTTTGATTTCAACCTCAGTTATTCTGTCTTAGCCAAGGTATGTCGGTACACAACATATCTAAAGTCTAAAGCACTGGTAAAGTCAAAATGGCCGTAGAATGCCCACTTTCAAAACAACCTCAATTTATTATGGCCACAGGGGTAAAACTAACCATCTCTACTTAAGTAATACAACCATTGTGAAAAGACCTTTTCATTCTCAAATACACATTACATAGCATGCTGAAATTGATAGTTCAAGTGTACCTCTCCACAATAAAAGAGAGAGAGAGATTCAGGTACTAAAGGACACTTTAATGGCACTGTAACATGAATAGGAGCTTGTGGTCCCTTTGAAGCTCCATACTTATTGTTAATGAGTATTTATGTATTTCATCTTCTTTTGTCATGATAGCTCTTGCACTGTCATTATGATTAAGCATGCACATTTTCATGTCTAGCAAATTCAGGTGCATGACAGTACTTTATTCATGAATATATTCCAAGCCTACCCATTAATATGCACAGGATCCATATATCTTTATGCCTGGTTAAAATATTTTCAATTTTATAGCCCATAAAACAGAATGAAAGGTTTATCTGTAAGAGGAATGGAGAGCTTGAGGTTTAAACTCCCGAAGACTAGCTATAGGCTAATCAGCTGGTTTTTATGTTCAGTATATAAAGCTCAAACAGAAATGAGATGACAATGACCAAATCTGAACAGAGGGTATGCTAAACGACATGCAGGTGTTGGTATTTCTTAAAACAGTCTACCTCTCTATCTACCTTTAACAGAACAGTAATCACACATAAAAAACAGAATATTATAAAAAATAAAATTAAAAAAGGCAAAAAAAGTGTTGAACCAAATATAATTTAAGATATAAATTATATATTTGTTATAATATACTAAATACTTCCCCACTTACATGTGTCACTGGAATAACTGTTTGTTCAGTATCTGGATATAATGGAATTCTAGCAACCACTCTAGCACTCCAGTTATTTCTTTTTTGCCTATGCTTCTTCTTTGCTTTAATAGGATTCTTATATTCAATGCCAAAGGCAAGTCTTCCTGTCTGCTCATCTTCAAAATCATCATCCACTTTCACTGTGAAACGCAAAACCTCTTGAACACTGAAATTTCAAATGGTATACGAATTCATATTTATTATAATATTTAACACCCCTGTTTAAAAATACTATTACAATGCAATATCAGAAACACAAGTAACAGGGAAAACAATGACATGAAAAAAAAAAAGTCAGGGCATGGGGATTGATTTTAAATTTCATAAAAACTGACATTTAAATAAGGTGCGCCTGTAGAAATTCTCATATATGATTTACATACTGCTAAAGTCACCCACATTAAAAAATCTGAGGTGAAATAAGTCTAGTTGAAACATGGAACAAAAAATATTAAAGCAAAACCCACACACATTTTTCATGTTCCCCCTTCAATTCCAACATACCATATACTAATATTAATTGAAACAACTTAAAAAGTTTTTTTAAGTAACAATCAGAGGTACAAAAGAGCTTTTTCCATTGTTGCATTCCAGGTCAAGTGCCCTAGTGCTGAAATTGGATAGGAGAGTTTACAGAAAGACCCTTCAGTCTGGCCCTGTCAATAGTTGGAAGAAGCATGTTATGAATACAAACAACTTGAGACCACATACTGCAGAGCCAGGAATGAGGAGAGAAGAAAAAAGAGGGGTGGTAGAATAACAAGCTTAAGAGTTTCTACCTGACTGCAATTTAATTTTGTGGACTACTGCACAAATATAATCTTAATGTTTCCCCAAATGCATTGTTCCTTCCTACTTTTAGGAGATGAAGTGATGAAATATGGGACTTTTCAAACCTGTTACAGAGTTGAGGTGTCTGACTACAAGTTGATTAGAAAATGCAATGATTGATTGATCTATTCCATTTGGACACAATCTATCATATTCGATTCAATGGCTTCCATTTCTCCTAAATATTAAATAACAAAGTAAGTCATGCAAAATGCCTGGACTATGATACAAGAAACTAAACAGCAACTCTTGAAATTAATGCAGACAAAAAAGGCCAACACCTCTGACACTAAGGAGTAAACAAAAAGCTCAACCGTCTTTTCTCTAAAGCCTTTCAGTGTAGGTAATGGTCCATAGACCAGGGAATGAAATATTAACAGGGTCTAACACTCCCATTTAGTAAGATTAACCCTCTTATTAGATGGAAATGGATTCTGTGTTATCAATATTCCTTCACACCTGCACTGTTGTCTACAGTTACAGGGACATTTACTGTTCATTTAGATAAATATTTGTAGCGCAAATGCTCAGTTGGTTTATATCTTCTATATATTCAACATGCCCAAGAATGCCGCATGACAGATGGACAACCAATATCCACACATCTAATGAACATTTTTCCTGCAGCTGAGCCCCCTTAATTCCCTCAGATAATTCTAATTCTCTGCTGTTGAGAAAGGTTCTACGATCAATTGAGTATGTTTGTCTTAGCATCAGATAATGATAAGGAAAGCCCATCTTACACTGACCATATTGATAGGATTGAGTAAAGTAAGATACAGGGACTTATGAGTTATATCATACTCCTTTACATCTTCCTATAATCATCTGCGTCACCTGATAATCCTTTTTAAAGAATGGCAACTTTACCATGCAATTTACAAAACCGCTCCCCTATCATCATTTGAAGACTACCCCTTCAGTGGCCAGCTTAAATCAGGTAATATGAAAAGACCAAGTTTGCTGAGTTATAGCAATCAAAATGAGTTCTGTTACTATCTAGGGATCCCAGTTCATACTGCAGAGAATTAAGCCCCTATTTTGCTAGAAATGTGCAATGTATATAGTCTGTCTGGAAGCCAGTTTACATAGATTTACAAACATGTATAAATCAAGCAAGCAAGCAGCCCCAAGTAATGAAACATGCCTTGATGATGGAAAACGCATAAGGTATCAAGAGAACCAATTCCCAATGGAAGCTGAGGACATTAGAAAGTTAAGAGATGCGTGAAAAAAAGAGAGAAAATTATCTCCCTCTGACTTGTAGCATGAATAATGTATTTAAGTTGATGGTCATCTCAAACTAAACACAAAAAGTACTAGGATTATATAATAAAATAAGAATTATTAGTGACAAGAAATTATAATTCCACAACTTACCTTGACTTCTTCGTGTAATGTTCTGCATCTTTGACAAATGCTGTAACCATGCCACTTTTATGCTTGTGGTTCAAACTGAGCTGCACCCTCCAAATACTAGGGTTTGAGGACTTGGCATCAAGAATTCTAAGACCTTTTCTTGCTTTTGTGCTGTAATGAATATACATATATTTCAGTCAAAAAACAAAAGAAAGAAAGACACTTTACATAGATAAAGTAATATTTATACATAACACCAACTGTTGAAATTTAATTTCTGATAAAAAATAAAAATGGTTAAATTGAAGGTGAAACACTTACTGTATAGAAAAGGCTCTAAGGTAGGACTCTGCCTGTAATAAGACTGGAACTTCAAAAGTGGCTCCTGCAGGGAAACCTTCTGTGGGAATATCAATGACTAGTAAATCCCCCTGGACCCTACGGTATCTCACATCCAGGGATTGCGCAGAGGGTTTATTGGGAACTAAAATCACAGATGAGAGAAAATGCTTCTGTATGTGTAAAACATCCTCTTCTTTAGTTTTGCTGGGCAGGATTGAGTTTGTAGCACTGACACAGGGAGAATTAATATCCACTGTGTGGAGAGAATGGTAGACATTTGCTGTGACAGTTGAATTATTCCACCATGCTGTTGGCAAACTGAGTTTTAATAAACATAAAGGATCATCCTCTTTGATCTCGCAAGAGGAGGAAACTTCACTCAAGTCTTTCTGTACATAGACTGATAAGCACCACTTTTGTCGGTTTCGAGTCTTGTACTTGTTTCTTTGGCTTCCATGACTAGCATGGGAAAGCACCAAAACTGTAGCAGAATTGTGTGGTATCTCCTTTCTGATGATGTGAACACTGACATCCATTCCTGGAAATAGCAGTCCTGTCGGCTGTTGGGCTGATGCATTGGTTTTATTGGCATAGAAATGTGGTGTGGAGCCCTCTGCAATAAGAGGGCCATAGCTAGCCCTTAAGGTGGCCACTTTGCCTGCCGTCGGCACCACAAACAGTTCCTGCTGGACTTGGCGGTCATGATTGTTCTTTTTGAGTAATGGTGACTTGACAAAGTAACCATCCCCCAGATGACTGAAAGTGACATCAACAGCCTGGGACAAACCTGAAAAACACAAACAAAAGCTCTAAAAAATGCCACCTCTGTTGTGAGTAATTTTATAACCTTCTAAAAATCTTTCTATCATCAATTCCCAATTGCCTTTAAAATACAATTTATATTAAAACTTTCATCCACAACCGATATTCTCTTGACATAGACGACCTTTTTGGAAAGATTGTAAACAATTTAATTAACAACTTGAAATTAAACTTCTCATTTGACATAATTTTAAAACCTGAAAGTAGGCATATAGTTCTTGAAAAAATATTACATATTTCTTATTACAGTGGGGCACAGCTAAAAGATATAAGTTCTTATTCAGCTTCTGAACTGATATCCACACCAGTATATTTGAACTCTAGCCATATATCTTCCAGCATTAATCAGGCATCAGGTTCCAGGTCCTATTGAATGCAACACAAAACAACTCAAACCAAGGCAGATAAGGGGCGCTTTACTTGAATTATTTATGATCACCAGTCTCCTTTTAATGAGAAGCAATCAAGAGCAACTAGAGGAAGGAAAACCACTGCCTAAACATAATGCTCCTAAAGAAATATGAGACAGACACTTAATAGCATAGGACAAGAGTACAAGTATATGGTTAACTGCATGAAAATTGAAAGGAACTAATTAAATGTGAAACAATTTAGAACTGATCAAAGAGCTTTATAACCCAGTGTTTGAAAAACATCAAAAATTGTGCTCTGTAATGGAGATGAACCCTTTAAGTGAACTGTCTGTCAGGTGTAATTAGAAGGTAAAATAACCAGCTTGCCTAGCCCCTACTTTCAACATAGCTATGTTGTTCTAATACCACCCCTAATCAATTCCTCCTTGGGGTGTGTAGATGAGACTGTTTGCTCATACAACTTCTAGATTAGCCTTAAATACAAAATTAAACAACCATGACCTGATTTTGCAGTAATCTCTATCTCTTAAAACTTCTATTACTCTTATCACACTGGTTAGAACCATAAGAATCAAACGGAAACCGACTGGTATCCTACTGATCAAAGCGAATTTGTGAAGAGATGGTTCATCAAATGGAAAACTGTAAATATATAATAATTTGTCGTTGACCACTGTATTTTTAACTTTACTGTCTACACGTATTAACGAAATTAAGACTCAAATGTTTTCTAGTGAAAAATACTCAGATGACCAAAAATTACTAAATTCTCCCTACATCAACTTAAAAGTTAAAAAGCTGAAGGAAGACATAATTTTAATTAGTATTCAATCTTTACACATAAAATTCATATTAAAAAAATAAATACTTTTTTATATTTTTTTCAAAACTGTATCATTATATAAAAATCCAAAGAAAAATGCTCCACAGAATTTTTTACAGGTATCAACTTTTTGTACCATATCTGCGATTATAATTCCAACAAATAGATACATAAATTAACAAAGTATATTTATCATACAAAGTCATAAATTTGCAATAATTGATTTTCAACTTGACTCCTTTTGACTTGATCACATCATGCAAAACCAATAGTGCCTTATTCAACTACGCTAATAAAGGACAACACACTTGAAGACGATGTTCATTAAACGGTCTAACGTGTATCCTAACTGCACGCCGGCACTTCAGATAACTTATTTCACACATTTAATACAATATCACTGGATACAATAAATTGAATAATAAAACGGTGATTTCCCATCATCTTTTATAAGGCAAAACCCACATATTTCAGAGCAAATACCATGCGCAATCTAGTTATTTGGGGAATGCTCTGACTTTATGTTATAACGAACGAGTTGCATTTTTAAGCAGACGAACTACAGAGGATTAACTGCAGCCTCTGACAAACAAATAATACACTCACCCAGCAAAGCTGATGTCCAGAGATATGCCCAAATCGGCCACAGATCAGCCATTCCAATCCATCTGGAGCAGACACCTCCAGTAAGATTCAAGATGATCAAGCAACTTAACTTCCCCTTCACAACATTCCTGGCCTCGCCAACATCGTATTCTGCCTGATCACTTGCACTCAACCTGAATGCTAAGATATGATAAACACATGTGCAAGTAGTCCACGCACCGGCCCCATGTATCCTTGCGCGAATGGAAAAAGGACCAAAATAGTTCATTTCATATGCCCACTTTGAAGCATATATGCTCCATTCATTAAAATTTTTACTACTCTTGTGGTAATGAACCTCATTTTGTCAAATGAATCAATGACTCCAATATACAGACAAAATATGAACATGTTTTTCACAATAATCTTACTTTCATTATAAACTATGCTGCTGCCATCTTTTATCAAAACACGCACACTTGGCACTGCGGCTAGTTGCACAGAAGAGTTTAAACGTATTTTTTCAGTAATTTCCCCCGCCAAATAGGATTTTTCTCAAATAAGAAGCAATTTTGCCCAACTATTTGTTCGACTCATCCCTGCACTTTGATTTGACCGTTTATAGATTTTCAATAATAATAATAATAATAATAATAATAATAATAATAATAATAATAATAATAATTATTATTATTATTATTATTATTATAAATTAAGTTCTGAATACCTGGCAAGTAACTGACACCACTTGCCGTCCTCGACATTTTGGAAGGAAATATCGACATCAAGTACTTTTCTTTGATGTATGTTATCATTTTTAGGGTCTGAATTTACAAAGATAATTAGTTTTGCAGGATATGTAGACATACATGTAGAAAATACGATTTTGGTGCATTTCCAAAAATCAACAATATATACCCCTTCTTATATTATTAGACGGAAAAATATCAAACAAGAACAAATCTGTTGTATCCCGTTACAGTCAAATACCCAACAGGGGAATTTATTCCACTTAATATTGCAGATTTTCGATGGGTCAAACAAAATATATGACCATGCAGGCCGATTTATTAGTTGTTCCTTCCTCTCCCCCGCTTAGATATAGAATCTTTAGCACCCCAAGCATCTTTTTTCAACCACATCAGTCCTAAGCTAACGTACAGTGTATTTGTAAATTGCGCATTTTCCGTACGCATTCGTGTGTAAAGATTCAGGCTAAACATCAGGTTAACTATTTAATTAAAACGGAAAACTGAAAATGCAATTTACCAAAGCTTATTGCAAGTGAAGTCCGATTTGAAAGAATCGAATCTGAAAATGATTTTACATTTATATGAAGCGAGCGTCAGAGACACCTCACTGACTTGCCGTCACTGTCAGCATGTAAACATGTGATTGATTATTTGTGGTGCTTTTTATACTGTTGTATGTGTACTGGTACATAATAAAAAATAAGAAAACATATTTCCTGGTAGCAAATACCAGTGCATCAATGTGCATGTACATTTACAGATAAATACTGGTACGTAATGCTCTCTGTAACCTATCAGAATGAATATAGTTTGACTTGGTTTGATTGTAAACTGCATATACATCCTGAAAACAGAGATGAGTTTGTTAGAAATTCTGAAACCCAGGGTGAAAAATATTTGAAAACAGTGATGTAACTTTTATTTTTTATTATTATTATTTTTTTTTTTTGCATAAATTGTTTTAAAAATCGCATTTGGTTGGAAAAAAGGGGGCCTGCAAGTGTAACATGATTTTTCACACAGCAAAAGAAAGAAATTTTATAGGCCAGTCAATACACATATTGCTTTACTGATTTATATTAAAATAAAAACGTATAAATATTGGAGTGTTTTCATTTTCACAATAATGCACAGCGTTTCCCCTGCCTTGGGCCGGAAGCAACTTGACTTTACACACTCATGACGTAAAACACATTATTGCCTGTTTTCCTTATATGGAATGCAAATTGAATTGAGCATGCGCAGTTTTAACCAAAATAAAGTAAGATGGCGGGCATGCTGTCTCTCCTTTTCGATGAATTACGATAAAATTTTACCTCACTTTAGTGCGATGGCAACGCAGAAACCGGGTGAATGGGTACAATCGCTCATAACCCGGTTTGACAATCAGGTGAGTGAAAAATCTGAACAGTTAACGGCATGTCCTTCAAGAAATAGGCTGTAATATTGGGAGGACAATTTATGAATGGATATTGACCTTCATTCATAAATTTGTAATGATTATCATATGTTTCAACAAACCGAAAATGTCACTGTGGCTGTAATTCAGTGCATTTGTGGGCCTGATAGATGTCGTGTTCGTCTTTTCGTGTAGTACATAGTCGTTTACTTTTACCGACTGACAACCTAAGGAAGTGGATTGTTAAATTAACCACCTACGTCCGAGTATTATTTCACATTCATAAGCTTTGCAATCTGCACATGCATCAACGTCAGATATAATTTCTGTTGTGCTAAGATGAGTTATATCCAGTGGCATTATGCCGATAATACATATGCTGGCTGCCATAACGGTTACACCAATGTTTATTGTTTGCTTTGCCTCGTTATGTCTTTATTTAGACTTAAATGTAGGTTATTGTGTACCTTGGCATAAGGAACTCGAATATATGACGTTATTGTTGTTTTCTTAATTCTGAAGTCTTGTATTTTAAATAATATTGAGCCCTATTGCCAGTGGGTATTATGATGCATTCATGAGAGAGGCAATATTACTCTAATGAAAAGGAAAATAAATAAAATAAGATTTTATTGTCTCATAAGTTATTTAAATGGTATTTTGCCTGCTTATTATAATAAACATGTTTATTTACAAGTGGGTATTTAAAATTCTAGGGCAGTGAATAGAATTGGATAAAGCTACTTTGCTACCACTTTCTTTGGTTAACTTAATGAAGAAAGCATTGTTCACCATTTGATAACCAGCTGATAACCAACATCAAACATTTTGTAACATAATGTGATGGTCAGTCAGGTTGGATCTGGGAAATTTTAAGTATTTTTGATGCAAAACATACAGGATGTCAGTGTATTGCAGAAGTAATTGTTTTTAGGTTGCCTGTGCATTTATAGGCATATTTTATCCCTGCCAGTTACGACCCTTTGATACAATGAAAGAATATTCCCCATATACAGTTAGTGATAAATTAATTGTTCTACTTATTAAAGTCTAATGAAAGTGGCTTGCAAGTTTATTAGAAATCATGAGACAGAGCCAAATATTTTGATTATTAGTAATCTTCAGACAGTAACAAGGTATAAAAAAATTAGATTCAAAACTTTTATAACCATAGCTTTTTGCACAAACTGCTGACAATTTTTATCTTACTTTTTGAGATCTTGGTCACAACTGATTAAGCAGTTTGTATTGACCCTCTTCCCAGAAGCTGTATCACTAGCAAGATTTACTTAATGAAAAAAGATGCATGGTAATTTTAGATCTAACATCCTTATAATATTGATATTTTTTATCCATGATGATAAGGTAAATATCACTTTTGTGTTCCTATGTTTTAGTTGCCCATCCGCACTGGCCAGCACACCACCCAATCAATCCAGAATGTGGAACAGAATAAGGAGTGTCTGATTAATGTCAGCAAATACAAGTTCTCCTTGGTCATCAGTGGACTGACCAATATTCTCAAAAATGTGGACTCCATGGTAAGAGATGACGTTCTGATGTCAAGATTTATGTGTTAACAGTTTTTACTTGATTGTTTAATTTTTTTTAACATTTGGAATCACAATTGTTTATTTGTTTGAAATCATTGGTAAAACTTTAATTTGGGACAGATGTCTTTTCTTTTTTTTTTCTGAAATTCACTGCTAGTCAAACACTAGAAGATATTTAGGCCTAATAGGGAAGCATTTGCAGTATCTGGTTTTAAAGGGAATTGTTTTTTTTCTGTGTTTTCCACATGCTTATTACCTATATAATGCATTACATAAAAATAAAATAGAACAGCTTTAAAGTGCTAGATAATTTTTAGAAGCTAAGTTTCTTGTTAGTTTGAATAAAAGGCAACTATTGTTATTTAAACTTAAAGTCAGTTTTCTGATGTATGTTGGTTTTCTCCTTCAATATTATATTAATGTGTGTGGGCTGTTGCTATAGAAATGATTGCTTACAAGACTTCCTTTATTGATTATTTGGAATAGAATACTGCCGACACACACAGTTCAGTATGATAAAGCTAGCAGCTAGTGATTTACATTTTACAAACCTTTGTTCTGAATTTTCAATATGCTACTGTATGGCATAACAGTCTGTGTTTGTTATTGTGTGCTTTTGTTTAAAGAATAAAATGGGTGTATCCCTTTGTGGGCTGTTCAAAAGATAACTTGTAACAAAGTATTATTTGTCAGACCTATAGACTGGGCGGGGGGATGGGGGGGGGGTGGAGACAGAAGTGCCCTTTTGGCCAGAAAAGGTCCTCTCCTAATGAACATTTGATATAGGTTATACCATTTCTCATTAGGTCAGCTAAAGGGGTAAAAGATTCTCTTTTTCAGAGAAAAATTGCCATCCCCCTTGAAATTGTTGGCAACAGGCATGTTTAATGTGGATTAAAACCAAATAGCTTCTATTAACTGTATAAAACAATAAGACAATGAAAGCTGCCCTTAAAATGTAATTTTTTCAGATCTAATCAAAATGATTATCTTTGCTCTATAAGTCTCCATTAATGCAGAAATATGTTTGTATTTTATATTGGCACATAAATAAAATGCAAATAAACTTGAATATATTTCTGTCTCTTTTTCAATCAGTTTAAAACTGCTTTATTGATAGAGCACAACAGATTTTGAAGATGTTGATTGGAAAGCTATGTTTACAAGTTTTAATTCTTTAGATTTTCCTCACTCATTCTTTACAGTTGTATAAACACTGCAATCTTGTTTCAGAAAATATATGGACCAGAAGCAGAGAGGAATTTCTATGATTCACAGCTTATAATTCTAGAAACTCTAGAACAGTGTCTAAATGGAGTAAGTACATTTCAAAGATTTTTTATAAATTTGTGAGTTGTAGTTTGATATTTCGCATGTTTCTATTTCTCATTCATGTGGTTACAAAAGAAACAGTAGTACAAATTATGACAGATTGTTTGGGTACACTTTTAGAAAAATTAACAGATGGAGATGGTGTCTGCAATGATTTTGATCTAGCTCT